GTGAGGGAATTAAAACCTGTACTTACTAAAATGAACTTAAGGTTAGAGATACAATGGTTGGCTTGGTTAAAATGCTTAGCTACAGGAAAGCCTAGTGTATTGTCTCTAATAGATTTTTTATGATTATTTCATCTTAGTCTAAATTTGCAACCAGTTTCCCAGACGTATATAGTATCCATACATTGGGTACACCAAATAAGATATATGACATTTGAGGCGTTGCAAGTGAGCGATTGTGGGTGTATGGTTAAGTGGCGGATGTTGATGGTGTCGTCGGTAATAAGAAGCTTACAAATTTGGCATCGTGAATTACCACAAGGGTAATTACCAAATTTAAGGGTGATAGTGGGAAGTTTAGATGAAGTTAGTAGTGAATTAAGGTTAGGAGGTTGTCGGTATGCTATGAGAGGTGGTGATTTGAGTGCTTCTGAATTTGATGAAGTGCAGTCAGAAAGAATGCGAAAATCTTGGGTGATAGTTTTGGCGAGATGTTGGATCACACACACACACACACACATATATATATATATATACACTAGGTTACAAATTCAACATTTTATTTTGCACTCTACAGACTATTTCATGAGGGCACAGCCTCAATCATCAGGTGCTCGGCTCTAAATGAAGCTTACTCGGAATAATGAAGTACTGTAGATAAAGATGATAAAAACTCTTTATAAAGAATATGCTATGTTAATTAGTAATGGACTCTCTTTTGTTTAATAGATGGATCTGAGATAGGTTATTGTTATTTAAGTTTGGTACTTTCTTCTATGTCGGCATGCACTAACTAATTCGTTTCTTTGGTTAAGTCTACTAATATATATATATACACATTATACCGTATATAATATGATACAGGTATAGGTGCAATTCCACAAGACACCTCTCAAAGCATCATAAAAATCAGCAAATATAATGGTATACTTTTAACCATTGAAATAGAGTCAATCTGTTTGATAAACTTAAAACACAAAATAATGGATGTACAAGGTAAATTATGATTAATTACGATTGCTATAACAAGGATTATGAGTTAATAATACATTTAATATGTGTGTGCTCGCTGTTGCATCCTATGAACATACCTTACAGAGCTTTTCAAATGACACATTAATACGAAAAGTATACTGTACCTAATACTGTCTAATACTGGCACATGTTGCATAGTGCTTACTGTTATGGCCAACAAATGTGTTTGCGCTCTGCGAAAACACTTTTTTTAGCAAATCGTTGTTGAAGACAACATTTCGTGGAAGAAGGGCCCAAATAAATAAATGCATGATTCAAGAAAACATTAATTTATCTTAAGCTTCAGATTTAAAAGAATTATTTTTAGATCCTGGATTATATATCTTTTCCTGTAATAATATTATTCCATATACTCCACCGAGTAATTAGAGTAAATTAAATTGAGCCTCTGAATCTTACAAGTTGACTAATTTAGAAAAAGAAGATTAATAAATACATTGGAATGAAAATGTTATTTTTGTGGCGATCGTTGGTGACTGTAGGTCTAGCAGTAGATTGAATTAGCATTACCTGACTGTGATTGCATTACTGTTAAGATTCTAAAGGTTTGCCATGGAGTCCTAGCTTCACTATAAATGACTTGCAGATTATTGAGAGATTTCTAGAGCTCTAAGGTTATGGAATAAACCTAGTGAATAAATATTAAACGAACAAGAAAACAAATTTCAAATGTCTTCAACTTGATACAATGCTCCCAGCAATGGCAAACAGAAGCTGTTGGACGACACTTTTGATTTGAAAATTCCATTTATCAATCAGTCTTTCGATTAACTGATTGAGTAGGCAAAATCATATTTTCCCTGAGGTCTTCTTTACAATTATTCATGCAGATGTCACTAACTGAATTTTTCCCTCTTCTTATGGCTTAAATGCACTTCTAAGTGGAATTAATGAGAGGACATAGCATACATCAGACAGTCTTATAACTTTTTTACCCATCATATATCTAGAAAGGTAATCATAAGTGCATAATGGATTCACACACATGGAAAATTAATAAGGTTATTTCTGATATGCAAAATTTATGAGTAAACAAACCATCAGCAGTCAGAGGTGAGACATAATAGATAAATATTTATAATAGATGCATAATCTATAATAGATAATAATTTAATATAAATGGAAAACATTTGTTATAATTATCTAAGCAGTAGACCACTAATGTATATATAGTCAACAGTATTGGTATAGTAGTGTAATAGACTTTGTTGAGTCTACTAAAACACAACACATCAACTGAGTGGGAAATGCAATACATTAATGTGTCAATTCATAATATACTTTCTATGCAAGCCATAATGTATAGAGCATGTATACTAAATGTTGACAATTTATATTGGTGTAAATGTGGTATTGGTGTCAGGTTTATTGGTAATAGCCTAAATATGATAAAAATAAACGATGGGTTTCCTGATTAGATTTAAAGGGAATGGCTAAATTTCAAAACAGAGTTATATGCCTAAAATTCATGTATATATAAAAAGATGTATTTGTTTAAATATATGGATTATCGGAAGAAAGAAAAAGCAGCATAAAAAAAGTAGACAAGAAAAGGATATTAAAGTAAATAAGACAGGAGAAATTTAAGGGAAAAGGAGGATGGGCATGGAAAATATTAAAGGAAAAATAAGGATCAGGAAATTAGGGAAGGAAATCAATGAAGAAAAAGATCAATGTTGATAGAAAGAGAAATTAGAAAAGGGTTGAGGAAAAAAATAAGTGCAAAATGATAAAAAATGGAAGGATCAAAAGATAAGAACAGAGAAGGAAAGGAACCAAGAGAAAGAAGAAATTGGGCTTATAAAAAAAGGCGTTTCTGATAAAGTTCAACCCCCTTTCCAGTGAACCCACCTCTTATAAACCGAATGACCCCCCCACTCCCACAATCCCAGCATCTAATTTTTAAAAAATAATGATGATAATAACCATTTACATGTTTTAGTTCCATGGTGTTTTACCATCAGACCTACCTAAGGTAGTACCCTGGACCCCACCATAGCACATACGAACCGGCTGAACATCTTACTATGTAACCCTATGGCTATGGGCCTGAAAATGATCAGGAAAAAAAGAAAAAGAAGAAACTGACCAGAGCAAGTGGAAAAGAAAATGAAGACAGGAAAGACAAGAGTGATATAATGTGTAAAACAATCAACAATAGAGAAGAAATGGGATGGAGGAAAAGAAGGAATCAGCAAAAGGAATATAGGAAAGAGACAGAAGAAAAGCAAGGAAGAGGCAATGTGTAAAACAATCAGCAGTGAGAAGAAATGGGATGGAGAAAAAGGAGTATAAATGAAGACATAAGGTAACCTTTAATATGGTTGTAAGATGTATCAGTAAGAAAATAAATCAGGTAAAAATAAAAATGTAACAAAATAAACCCAAAAAGATTATTAGAAAGATGACCAGATATAAATGGCTTTCAAACAGAATAAAGGACAGGCTATATGTATGATAAAACACGGCTGTACAGGCATATAGGCTACTCAACAATAAGCAAGGCACGTACAGAATAGCATAACTACATGCACACCACTGCTTTGATTCAACCAAATCCCAGGCTAGCTTTTTAATCTCACAAATAAAGGTTTTTTTTATGTTGGATGCTTGCAGTACATTAAAGCACAAACCAAGGTTTGTGATTATAAGCTTAGTACGTAAGAAAAGGTGGAGTTACCTTAAGAAAATCCCAATCAGCACTTATGATACGAGCAGGTACTATCATTCTCAGACACTGCTCAACACGGCAATCCCTCTCTCGTTTCTGATGTCTGTCAAAATGTTTACAGAAAGGCGTACCGTAGTACACGCATTGGCTCTACACAATAACGTTAGCTAAGTGTACACAAAAGCACAATTCATATGCACATCACAAAGAAACTTGGTGAGGCTGAATAGTCCAAAACCAGATGTCCAGATACGGATTCTAAAGAGGGCATTTATTTGACAGGTTACTAATGTCCACACCTCAAGATTCTTGTCAACTAGAGGCCAAATGAAAGACCATCAATACATTGAAAAACAACACCAAACAGGAAAAATATTATGAATCAATTATGAAATGAAGTGAAACACTTTTATCATATCCACTGGGTGTACAGTAGCTGCCCTAGGTACTTGATCACAACGCTGAAATCAGACTTCTTCAACACCTAGCAAATAATTATCTCCAGCTTGCGAGTAAGTCCGTCCTCTTGCGACATACATGCACTCTACAATAAATTTAATTAAACTGGCAGTGGAGTTTCTATAAATACGGTGTTTTCTCGCTACTACGATACTTCAATACAGCCTGATCAATATCCCATTGTCCTTACTATGGGCTGTGGAACATGGCTTTGGGCATTAGATCATCGACGGAGTAGTATAGTATATGAGAACAAGATCACTGAATCTTGTCTCGCAAACAAAAACCTGGGCACTTTATCAGTCTTTTCTTAGTCATTCGACTGTGATATACCCCTCAGGATGTTTAAAAGAATCGTCAATGGGGCATATAAAAAGGGAGTTTTTATAGACAATATCAGACAAGCCACAAATATTCAACATTAAGAAAGTAATCAGAGAGCAGATAATGAAGGTATTCAAACAGAACTGACAATCAAAACCACAAATGAATACAAAAGGAAATAATTTCAGCACCTGACAAAAAAAAAACCTTTCTGACATAAAAATGTATTATTATTATTATCTGCATCAATTATTATCATTCAATAAATTGAAGTACTAATTACCATTTGTTATCTGCCAAAAAGTGTGAGATATATAAAAATTTCTTAATTAAATTCTTGTTTTCCTATAATTTCACTCATTACCACTTACAATTAATATTATTATGATTATAAATTATGTAATGCAAATGAGAAATGCTATCATTATAATTATATATTATTATTATATAATAAGTAAATCATTTATTTTGTGCCCACCTTTTACAGATGATTATTCATCTAGCAATAATAATACTATCATAATATACTGAATCTTGTCTCGCAAACAAAAACCTGGGCACTTTATCAGTCTTTTCTTAGTCATTCGACTGTGATATACCCCTCAGGATGTTTAAAAGAATCGTCAATGGGGCATATAAAAAGGGAGTTTTTATAGACAATATCAGACAAGCCACAAATATTCAACATTAAGAAAGTAATCAGAGAGCAGATAATGAAGGTATTCAAACAGAACTGACAATCAAAACCACAAATGAATACAAAAGGAAATAATTTCAGCACCTGACATAAAAAAAAAACGTTCTGACATAAAAATGTATTATTATTACCTGCATCAATTACTAGTGCTAATTACCATTTGTTATCTACTGAACCAAAAAGTGTGACAGATATATAAAAATTTCTTAATTACATTCTTGTTTTCCTATAATCTCATTACCACTTACAATTAATATTATTATAATTATAAATTATGTAATGCAAATGAGAAATGCTATCATTATAATTATATATTATTATTATAAATCATTTATTTACTGCCCACCTTTTACAGATGATTATTCATCTAGCATAACTCATCATCTAGCATCTTCACATTCAATACTAAATAAACAATAAACATTAAAATAGGCCTACACCATATAATACAATGTCAAACATATCACATTATATTTGCATGTATATTGTTACAACAGTATTAGAATTCCATATTTTATTTTTACTTATTTTTTATTTTTTTTTTCAATCTTCTCACATAAAATACAGTGGAGGAAACAAACCAACAGGTGACAAGCACCTATTTCAAAGTGCATTCCTTTAAAATTATATAAAATACTCAAATATAGCAACTATTTTTATCATAAAGCACAATTGACTTTGTTTAATATGTGAGTCAAGTTGTAGATAAACTTTCATACATCTTTTTGTAGGGCAATTTTCAACTTTCGGCAAATATTGGAAAATTATAATTTGCATGATGAGATATTTTTGAAACAAGTAGTATTATATAGTAGCCAAAGTCTGTTAAACATGGTCTACTGTATGTAGTCTGACAAACAAATACAAGGATGATCAAATACAAAATAGGAATAATTCACACACTGCTATTTTCCAAAAGATGAATGCAGCATATGGTTAGAGTGGGTACATATTAAAGCGTCATAATTCTAGCAACTTAAGGACTTCATTTTACCCAAGCCTAAGGGTTCACTTCTAATGAGGGAAAAGTGGAATAGTATGTGAAATGTAGTTTTAAAACCAAACTAATCAACTGGCTAAACCATCTACAGCATCACTGCCAATAATTGCCTTTTACTCCTTATGAAACGTAATTATAAAACCACTCTGCATTTCTTGTTTTACTCTGATCCAAATCAAGATAATAAAACGAAGAAGATATAAATATGGGCTAGTTTGCTTGCTTTAATTTGCTTCTGATTGGAATAAAACACCCGAAAGAGATGAATCATATGTTTCAAGGTTTTAACCCAATATTATTACAGAAAGACTGTGGAGGAGAAATATAAGTTACCCAACCTACATATAATGTAGTAAAAGAGAGATGGAAAAGGAAAAACTAGAAATTATAGAGATATGAGCAAAGAAATTGAGATTTTTTATATCATAAACCACTATAAACTGGCACTCTGAATGAAATCAAATTCCAAGACTTGTCCATGCTTTTTTTTATACACTTATGATTTTTCTATATACATTTATAAGATTAGAAGATTTTTAAAACCATTTTTCCTGATTTTTAAATTATTTTCCAACCATTTCTTAAGATTAAGTGACTTTTTGATGATATTTCTATGTTTTATCTATAGTTATTTCTTGTTAGTACAAGACTTCTTCTTGTTTATGACTTCACTATGATTTTTCAATGTTATGGAAAACCACATGACATATTTTTGTCATCTAAACTTTCATATAGGCCAACATAAACATGCTAGCTAAGGGATTTCCTTGTATTTTTTTATTCTTTGTTCTATTTACATTTACCATATCCAATGCTTTTTAAACATGAAGCACTGGTTGATATTTTTCATAACTTGTTTTGGCTGGGACAATTATGTTCACATTTTATGACATTTCCAGATTTGCATGGGCACAGAAACCATGTAAATCAATGATGATAGATAATGTACGTATTATGTATGATTGAATTTGTGTATGGAAAATTAATATGATGCATTATAAATATCACAACAATATCATAAGTACATAGGTCATAATAATCTAACAATAAGTTACTGTTCAGGTAAAAAGAAAGTAATCTGAGACAATTATAAGTTTTCCTAGAATGGTAGTCACATAAGAATGTCAATAGTAATAATACATTTTTTAACCAATTTTCATTTCAGAAGTATTTGGCGCCAATAAAAAGTTTGTAATGAGTTCAACAAATTGCTTAACACACTTAAGCTGAATACTCTAGATGATATAAACTGAATGAGATACAAGATAAAACAAATTTATAAATAACATATATAGGTGAGAATATAAGAGTGACAAATGTCATTCATAATTTATAAATTCAAAAATTTCTTTTATTTCTAATCATTCTGAACAAAATATTTTTGCCATAATTTACAAAAAGTAATTGAAATTGTTACCAATAGACGCCACTCATTGGAAAGCAGATAAATTTATTCATATCTGACGCTCTCGTCAACAATAAAAACTACAACTTGTGTAACCCGACACGATGTCCGCTGTCCCACCTGATCATGCCAGGGAATCAGCCAGCAAGATAGGTGATAAATATACTACACTACTTAAGTGATCTTCGTTAAAATTTGAAAGAAACATGAATAACCAAAAAAAAGTGTTGGGGAATTGTAGTTGGTGGGAAGTGAGCACCTCTCGGGATATGGTTTTTACTGTTGAGAAATTCCAAGGTGTCCATAGACTCAAGGTTGCGAAACAAAGCATGTTTTCTTTTGGAGATTTTGAAATGCAAAAGCATATCATTTCTCTTTATGTTAAAATTACCAGTTCATTTTTTATTTTTAAACTTATACTTCTACTTTACACTACATAAAAACATATCTTTTTTCAAGCAGTCATTAGCCCCATCACTGGGTGCTTTGCAGTGCTTTGAGATGTAAGCGAAAGGTGCTATACAAAAACAAAATAATTCAAATATTAGTATCTAGTATAATGATATTATTAGCATTTATATTTGACTTCGGCTTGTTGAAGTTGGTTGGGACCATAAAAGCGACAAGACAACTCACTTAAAGCCCTATTCCCGGCAAAATTTCACTAAAAACTGACTCTTTTTAGAAAATATGCATTTGTATTACTCCAATTATTATAAATCATGGAAAAATATTGGCATGAATTATAGTTTTACGCAAAAGAATAAAAAAAATGAGAAATACAGACTATTTCTCATAAAATATTACCATTTTCTCGACGAATTCATCGTTACTATGCAAATTCAGAGGTTGTAGATCGTATCCACTGGAATACTCTCGCTTTTATGTATACTTTATACAGTCAATAAAAAGTGCGTCCTCTCTAATGAGATTAGTTTTTGTACTTCGCATCTCGCACAATGCGTTCGTTCGGTTAGGTTGAGATATGTTTGTTTAAGTGTCAAAATCTCAGTCAGAATCAGTTTTTTAACAAATTTGAAATAATTCCTATGAAATATTATATTTCACAAGTGTCATTACTAGCAACGGAAAATATCATGTCGGCTGTTTTTATGTGTTATAACAGAACCTAAATCAAGGTAAGGCTAGGCCTAGCCTAGCAGCGTTGGATAGGCTGTTTTCGGCGCCTACGATATTTCTTCTCACGACCTGTCGCAAAGTCAAACATGAAAATTCATCCGCATTTATTTTTTGTGTGGAACACAAAAAATCAAATTTCAGTCTTATTTTACATTTTTTTCATTCTTAGGAATGTCTAAATTCAGTTAAACTAGCAATTCCGTATTATATTTATAAATCTTTATAACATTATACAAAAATTATATTTTTTTAAAAAACTGAAATTTTGCCGGGAATGGGGCTTTAAAGTAGTGGACTATCTCAGGCCGTTTATTTACACTATCTATTAGTATCTAAGTTTCTTTTTTATTTCATCTGTAGAGTCATAATATCTTGAGCCTAATTCATATTTCAATAAATATAACTTATAACTTCTTAAACTGAAAATACTATTCTATATCAAAAGTTCATTTTTCAACTATTGTTTCAGAATACTACTTACTCAATAAAGAATTTCACCCAAGATTTTGATGGATGTTATTATTACCAAATTATTGCATTGTCATATCAGGGAGATGCAAAAATACATTTTACATCTCCATGGTCATATTAGCCTGTCTCTTATACACATCTAG